ATGTGCTGACGATGCAAAGAAGTGGGCAGGATTTACAACAGCTTTTGCTGCTAACTATTTAAATGAGCCTCTGATTAAATGAAGAATTTTCATTTTTTTGTGGGTGAACTATTCCTTTTTAATGTACACATAAAATAAAGCATGTATAGGCCTATATGGCTGTACGCTTACACCTGAACAAAAGGGGATGTATTATGTAAGTTGAACTTGTATTTTATTGTTGTGTCAAGTTGAATTTTCATTAATATTATGTGTGTTCAGTCATTTAAACCAGCTTTAAAAACTGCTTTCAGACTCACCTTTCAGAGCATGCGTGTTATGAATCAGTTGTGAGTAACTCTGTAAAACCCAACAGCTGTTCTAACAAACACTTTTTAGTTAACTTTACTTTATGACTTTACTTAACTGTAAAATCTAGTAATCTGTACTAGTATCCACACATACTAGTCCTTGCTTACTCAGAAATCACAATTTATGATTAATTGATTGGTTTGAGTGCCATTTTGGGGGGAAACATTTTTTTGAGACGGGGTAATTCTTAATAGACTTTTCACTCAGTTGCTCTACTTCTGCAGTTATCTTTCTCTAGTTACATTTACTCATTTCCCAAAGTCACCTTGAATGTTAAATTGTCAATACAACTGAACAATTTGAGAGAATCACATACCTGTAAGCTGACATCATAAATTGATATTGATTTTCATATGCATTGATTTTTTATTTATTTATTTATTTATTATTTTATTTTTTTGTCTTGTTTCTTGCAGGTTGAGCTGGAGGTGTAAGTTAATGTGCTGAAGCAGGATCTGGAAATGATATCAAATAAAACTCTGAAACTGCTGTTAAAAACAAACCAGATGAGTCCATACATAATTATACAATACCCATGTGTTATTATATTATTATATATGATATATTATTACAGATGGAGGAGTTTGAGACACGTAATCAGTTCCTGAAGGAGGATGAGGAGCAGAAGAGAGTCAAAATTCAGCAGAACCAAAAACAATAATTTTACAGAAATTTTTATTAAAGGTTTTACAGAAAAGAAATGTTATTTTACAGTTTTTCCTTGTTTCAATTATGATATTTTACTTTAATTTTATGGTTTTTGTTTCAGTTCTTTTACCATTTTTTTACGGGACTTTTTTTTACAGTGTAGCTACTTTTTGACAGTAACTTGTAGCGTTTTTCAAAAGGGTAGCTTGAATGTAGCTTAACTACTTTAATTTACCAGTAGCTTGTAAAGCTACAGTTTCAGAGTAGCTTCCCAAACACTGGAGACTTATATATAGGAAATAAAGACAAAAGCAAAAAATTCAGTCAAATGTATCCTACAAAGAGGGTTTTGTCATCTGCCATTAACGCTCGCTGGTTGGAGCAAAATGCATTCTGGGATACCTGGCTGCCTCAAGTTCGCACAAGTCACCTCTTGATGCATCCTTGATAAAAGGGGCGGAGCAAGAACACATCCTGGGATTTGAACTGTACTTGGCTAGATGTGAACTTTGAATTGGAACAGTAACAAATCCACAAGAACACAAGTACAGACAAGAACGCATATTGAGAAACGGCTCTTGTATAGGCAGTGGTTCGAGATGTAGTTCGATTGTGCTTCGAGGAACGTGAGTTCGAGTCCTAGCTTGGGGACCTTTCTGATCCGATAAATAATTTTTTTTTTTTCTAATTAAAACACTAATGTTTTCTATGCAGTTTAGAAATATGCAAGTTGCTTTAAGAAATTTCCAGGAAATGCATGGAAAAAGGCAACTGCAACATTGCTATTTTATTTGCTCTTATTTCATTCATAGCGTTTACTCTCATTTACTTCACACACTTGTTTCTGCGTTGTAATTTTAGAGGTTTATGTGAAACAACAGGCCTTCCTTTGGCTCACCGTTGCTGCACAGTTTTAAAAAGTATTTCACTTAAGTAATTTGCAGGTCTGGAAAAGTATGGGGAAAAAAAGAGAACAGAGTATGGAAACATATTTGTGTTTCGACTATTTGCCCTATTCAGTGTTCAAAAATATAAAATTAATAATTCTTAAAAAAATATATATCATACAAGCAGAGAGATTTCATGACAAACGTTTAGTGATCATTTGAACACAGCTGAATTTATTCAAGGTGCACATTTAATTACGCAGAACTCTTTAAGCGAGTCATTTTTGAACTTCACTAAACAAATGTGCATGTGCCACGCAAACCAGCAAAAGATAAAGAAGCAAACACGTAGGCCTAGTAGAACATGTATCTGTATCTAAGTTGATTATTAGCCTACTCTTGACAGAGAGCTGGTTTGATTGATTGTGCTGTGCTTATTCCATTCATTCATGTATCATATCGTAGCCTATAAAGTTTAAACCATTGCCTTTTAAATATAGCCTACACAAATAGTAGAATGTATGATGTATTATTTTAGTTGATATTACTCTTGCCAAGCTCTGATTTCTGAGAGAATCACGGAAAGGCAACAGCAAAGCAGCGTTTGATTTGCGTTCTTTTTATTCATGAAGTTTACATTCATTCACTTCACACACCCATTATTGCGTGACTTTAGAGGTTTGTGTATAATTTCGTGCTGATCCCTTGGCTCACCTGCTGTCTATAGCAAACACCAGACTCGGCCAGCCTCAACCGAATATTCGGGCAGAATTATTTGTTATCTTTTATTGCTACAAATATACCCTTGCTACTTAAGACTGGTTTTGTGGTCCAGGGTCACAAATAAGTAAATGATAAAGTAAATGTGTTTAATCACATCCTCTCATCAGCAGCTGCAGTGTCTCTCAGGTGTATCAGTGCAGTCACTGTGACTCTGACTGACGGAGGTTTTTGTACGACTCTTTATCACTGTGTGAACACATCTTTACTGTTGATGTAGTGGTAACTCAGACAGTAATAATCTCCTGTGTCTTCAGTCTGGACTCCACTGATGGTCAGAGAGAAATCAGTTCCAGAGTAAGATCCACTGCCACTGAATCTAGATGGAGTTCCTGACTGGAGGGTGTTTATGTAATAAATGAGGAGTTTAGGAGCTTCTCCAGGTTTCTGCTGATACCAGGCTAAGTAGTTGCTGTATATTCCTACATCCATACTACACTCTATTGTAACTGTTTGACCCTGTTGCACAGTTTTAACTTTAGGCTGAGTCACAGTGAGTCCTCTGGATTCTGAATAAAATAAAATAAATTAGTTTGAAAATCTTCGTAACAGCAGAATATTAAAATGATAAAAACAATGATTGCATTATCAATATCAAAAATAAACATCCTACCATGAATAAAAGCTACAATGGTCCAGATGAGGATGAGGTTGCTGTTCATTGTTGTTGTTGTGTCTTGTGTGATGATGAAGATTGTGTTGTGTTCTGCTCTCAGTCATGAAGTGTTAAACTCACAGCACTATAAACACTCTCAGAGCACTGAAGCATGCGCTGACGATGCAAAGAAGTGGACAGGATTCACAACAGCTTGCGCTAATAATATAGTTGTCAGACTTTGTTCCTTGTTTTGTGTGTTTTGCTCACCATGTGCCTTCTTTGCCCTTATTTGGTTATCTTCCTGTTCCTGCTCCCTGATTGTTTCTAATTTGTTTCCAGGTGTGTCTCGTCTTCCCCTGATTATGTTGTGTTCTTAAGAAGTGTTTTGTTCAGAGTTCTTTGTCCGGTATCGTTCGTCCGAGTGCTACGTGTGTTTTCCATGTTCCCTTGAATTCATTAAAATCTCTCGATTGATGTACTTCTCGTCTCCTTCGTTCCTCGCTCCGCGCTCCTCACTGTAGTGCAACCATGACAGTAGTACCTCTGAAAAGATGTATAACAGAGAAGATTCAAGACGAACGTTGCAGTGATGGCTTCCTTGACTCAGTATTTAACATTAATGAAGCGCATCACAGGTGTGCCGCCTATTGAGACGTGCAGTGATGTCATGACGCAGGTATGCCAAACAAACATGATGACCCACACGAGGGAGGACTAACCTTATGTAGAATAAAGCAGTTGTCTTTATATCATTATGTCATTTTTTATTTAAATAATAATAATAATATAACTGAATATAGTTAACAATAATTTTGAATGCATCTGTAAAAAGATAAATTCTTCTAACTGAACTGAATAGTAACACTTTAGTATTGGGACCAATTCTCAATGTTAACTAGTTGCTTTATAGCATGCCTATTATTTACATATTGGCTGTTTTTTAGTACTTATCAAGCACATATTCTGCATTATCATATTCTACCTCCCTAATCCAACTCAATACCTAAATTTAACAACTACCTTACTAACTATTAATAAGCAGCAAATTAGGAGTTTATTGAGTCAAAAGTCATAGTTAATGGTTTGTTAATAGAGAGAACTGGACATTAAAGAGCATCTGTTCTCTAAAACCATATAAATTCATACATCTGAACCAGTCTGACATGAGACAGAATACTGAGGTGATATTCATATTTATCTTTTATAATATATATATTATAGTGTGCAATTCCATCTTTCCAATTTATTGCAATCTTAATGTTTGGATGTCAATCTTTCAGTATTCTTTTGTGATTTTGAGAGTTAGATGTTCAGATTTCAGATCAGGTGGTCTGTTGGTTTTGTCTGTGGGATATTTATTAGATTATTGTTAATCTGATTATTTACAGAAGTCAAAATAAAAGCACAGATGGGTGAAATGTTATTTAAATATATAGATTAAAAGCTTAAAATATGTTTTATTTATACATATTTATTTTATTTAATCAAAATTCAGATAGCAAATAAAATAATAATTTGTCTTTATGTATTTGACTTATTTTTGTCTTTTTTGGTCACAGGCTTCATTTATAAAACACATGTATGATCAGATCTTAA